ATAATTGAAATTCTTAACCCACTCCATAATGGAGTGGGTTATAACCTGGAGTTGCTCCGGAGTATAATACTCCATTAGCAACCCTACCTGAGGATTACAATTTGCTAGACAAGGGTCACTTTTTTTATTATTATTAAATCGAACCTATATTTTTCACGTGATTTACCACTATATAACATTAATTTTGCTCGTCGATCAATTGTATATTTCTAATAATAACATTTTTTTATTTTAAAAAAATATGGGTCTTGGTTTCAGTTGTCTCGGTTTAGGGGCAGCATCCTGGATATCCTCATGTCTTGCTTCTTGCTTTTCAGCAGCAGCCTGTTCTTTAGCTTTCAAATCTTGTAATTGCAATAACTCCATTGCAACGAGAGTTGGTTTTGCAGTGAGTATTATTATGATGTACTCACTCACAATTACTCATGTTGCTTAAACCTATATTAAAATCAATTATATGTATATATATTTTTTTGTAGATAATATTTCTTATGAATTCTATGGTTGGTATATATTAAAATATTTTTTAGATTTAAAAAATGTATGTCAATAAATATTATTATAAATATTATTATAAAATCTTTTAATAAAATATCACAGTTAGCATGGATCATGTTAACGGATTGGGCGATAAAACAACTAGAAAACATTTCATATGGTTACTTAAAATTAAATTGTGAAGAGGGAACTTGTTATGGAGTATTAGCCGTAAGTATTTGATATTTGATATTTGATATATATATATATATATATATATATTAAATGATTATAAAAGATTATAAATTTTTATAACATTTTATAATATTTTATAATCTTTTCTAAATATTATTACTACCAAAATATCCTAAATATCCTAAATATTACTAAATGTTATTTATATATATATTTATAGGTTCATCGGATATGTTTTGCTTTTTCATTCTTCCATTTCATATTAGGTTTATTGGTTCTTAAAGTGAATGATACTCGTGATAAGAGAGCCTCAATTCAGAATGGGTAAATAATTTATTTATTAATTTATATTGATTGATTGATTGATTGATTGATTGATTGATTGATTGATTGATTGATTGATTAATTTATTTATTTATTTATTATTTGTTGATTTATCAATTTATTTATAATTAATTTTTATAGATGGTGGGGTCCTAAAATCTTATTATGGTTACTGCTCATCATTATTTCATTTTTCATTCCAAATCAATTTTTCATGTTTTGGGGAAATTACATTGCTTTAATTGGATCAACGGTATTTATTATAGTGGGATTGGTTCTTTTAGTTGATTTTGCTCATTCTTGGTGTGAAACGTGTATTGAAAAATGGGAAGGATCAGATAATAATAAATGGAAATATATTTTGGTCGCATCAACTTTAACTAAGTTTTTGGGTGTAGTCATATTTACGGGAATTATGTATGGGTTCTTCGCTGGATCCGGATGTCGCCTTAATCAATTCTTTATAACTTTCAATCTTATATTATGTTTAATTGGAACACTTTTTTCTGTTCATCCGGTGATACAAGAAGCAAATCCACGTTCTGGACTTTCACAAGCTTCGATGGTGATGGTTTATTGTACTTATTTAATATTAAGTGCGGTAGCCAATGAACCAATAGATCCTGATGATGAAAATGGAAGTAATTGTAATCCTTTAATAAAAAGTCGAGGCACTCAGACTACCACAGTTATGATAGGAGCAATGTTTACATTTGTGGCCATTGCATATTCAACATCGAGAGCTGCTACTCAAGACAAGGCATTAATTAATAAATCTGATTATCATCCCGTTAATACTGCAACTGCGATTAATTTAAATAATTCAAATTCATTACTTGCTTCTGTTGAAAGCGGGTGCGTATTTTTTAATTATTTAATTATTTAATTGAATGAATTATAATTTCTTTTTTTACCTTTTCTCTTTTCACTTTTTTTTCTAGTGCAATGCCAGCTTCGGCATTAGATAATGATGATGATGACGATGAAAATGATGATGAAAAGAATGGGGTCGCTTATAGTTACTCATATTTCCATTTTATATTCGCTATTGGTGCTATGTATACTGCGATGCTTCTTACCAATTGGTACGTAATTTAAAATTTATCTTTTGAATAATAATTACAAATATTTTTTATATTATTATATGTTTTAATATATGTTTTTAATAATTATTTAATTTAAAGGAATAATGTTTCGACAAATACTGATGAATTAATTACGATCGGGCAAACTTATACTGCAGTATGGGTTAAAGTTGTTTCTAGTTGGATTTGTTTAATTTTATATTTCTGGACACTTGTTGGTCCAGTAATAATGCCTGAAAGATTTGAAATGTATTAAATTATCTTTAATACTTTATTGTTCATCATTAATTAAATTGTATCATTATTATTACATTATTTTTATTGTTTTCTTAAATTTTGTATCTTTATTGTTTATAATTTTATTCATCAACAATATAAATAAAATTATATATTAATCTACGAATAATTATTATTTATTTCTAATCACTTTTTTTTTTCTTATATAATTTTGTGTATAAACATAAATAATAAAAATAATTAATAATTCAAAGTGCAAAATGCTATAAAATGTTAATATGTTTAATATCTAATAATATAATGATAATGTAATAATAATAATATGATAATAATATAATTATAATAATAATGATAATATATATGCATCTTTGAATATATAAATAGGTCAAATATTTTATTAAATTTTAATAAATTGTATTTAAACTCTAGAGTAACCTGAATTTCCACCACCTCGAACAGTATTATAAAGATTTTTGGTCAAATCCTATTATTAAAATATTGTAAAATAAATAAATAAGAATAAATAATTAAATAAATAAGAAATAAATAATTAAATAAATAAGAAAAATAAAATAAAATCTTACTGAAGCCATATATGGAACATCTCTCCAAAAGTCCCTTTATTATAACGAAAATGATGAAAACAATAGAAATTTTGAATTATTATTATTATTATTTAAAAAAACACATAAAATAATGCAAATATAAATCGCGAACCTATTTGGAAGTAAATCCCATCCTTGTGATCTATATACTTGATAATTATATATTGTTCCTATTATCAAATATAATGCCAACACTATAAAAATGCTAGATAAAAAAATTATTATTATAATTATTATTATTATTAAAAAAATTCAAATTAATAAATAAAACTATTTAGATTAAAGATAGATTTACTTACAAGATCATGAATTTGGTAAATCCACCAAGACCTTTATATTTCTCAGGTATTTTTTCACTATAATAATATATTGTATGATAAAATAAAAATATATAATAAAATAAAAATTATATAATAAAATAAAATTATATAATAAATGAGTACCCGCAAGCGTATTTGGTTCTCCATTCTATTTGCAATGTATTCTCTTTGTATGAAGTCTCGGGTTTTTCATCTTCCTGATTATCAAATCAATCAATAAATAATCATTAATAAATAAATAATTATCAAATAAATAAATAATTAATTAATTAATAAATAAATAATCATAAAATAAATAAATAAATAAATAAATAATTAATTAATTAATAAACTAATAAACATATCAAATTATCTTCAACAATAACTTACTTTATCGTGATCGCAAATGAAAGTAATATTTGCTTTTTGTTGTACATCATTGACTTTATCTCCATAAAAAGTAATAATTAGAGGTCCTATTTTTAAAACAATATTCAATCATCATCATCATCATCAAAAAATAAAAATAAAAAAAAAATATTTATATAAATTTAAAAATAAATCGTAAAATATAATATGATTTTGATTTTACCATGTATATCATCAGCATTTGCTTTAGGTCCTAATTCTACTACAGGATTTTGATTATTATCTTCATTATTGTCATTGGTGCTGTTTATGGCTACTGGTATAACACTAGTTATTAAAGATACATTGGTTCTAGGATTCCAATACGTTGTAATTTCACAAATTAAAGTTCCATTATGACATGTATTAAGTTTGGTTTCTTCATTTGCATTATCATCGTAAGGTAAAGGTAAACATGGACTTATTAAATATGTAGTATTCTTTTTTGTAGGAGGTGATTCTTTTGTATTAGTAATATTCCAAACTCTGTTATATATTTATTTATTACAATTATTACGATTAATTATTATTATTATTATTATGTTGTGTTGTTGTTTGTTGTTGTGAATATTTATGATTATGTTGTGTTGTTCGTTGTTACGTTTGTAAGAATTATAAAAAAAAAATAATATAAATATCGATCTCAACTCAATAAATAATAAATTTTCGAAAAAAAATTTAGAACTTAACTGAAGCGCAGCTATGTTGAACCTAATTCCGCTGGCTTCTATATCAGAACAATTAAAGGGAGTTGCGGTAACCCCAAAATATTGACTAAAAGCATTTATTAAAATAATAAAGACGACCAAGTGGTTATAGTAACTTTTAGATTTCCGCATTTTGAAAAATAATAATATAATAATAAATGAATGAAAGATAAATTTGTGTGAATTAATTTTGTAATATTCATTATTATATGCGGGTCTATGCAATTTATTAAAAAGGGATAAACAAACAAAATAAAGTTTTAATCATGGCGTCCTCTTTTTTTGGGAATTTCACAATTTTGTATGATTAAATTTCTGATTAAATTTCTGATTTAATTTCTGATTTAATTTTTCATTTTGAGCTGATCATTCTTATATAAATTCCAGGCGGGAATTATCATCACTCTCATAACCACTTTCTGATTAAAATAATCTAAGTTCAAGAGCTTATGAATATAACTTGGAATGAATTTCTTGACCAATGTAATTGTAATTATAAATATAAATATATATATTTAATTGTTTAACATTTTATCTTTATTCTCAGGTTATGGATATTTTCTTCATAAAAACTATGTGGGAATATGTATGAAGATAAATCCATTGGAAAAACTTATTTTCTTTACTTTGATCTTGGCTATTTTATTTTTATTGAACGGTCTTGTTATATAATTCTTTTAATTGACTTACTTATCTATTATGATAATCATTAACGAATAAAAAAAATTATAGATTGATCCGTCACTTAATCTTGACTGGTGCTCTTATATCATTATTATTGAACAAGATGATAATCTTAAAAGGTAGTTATTTTTCTCAACAGTATATATTTATGAATTTTGTGATTTATTTATTATTAGAAAATACAATTAAGAAAATGTATAATGCTATGCACCAGGAACCTTAATATAAGTATTTGAATAGATTGAACATATTTGACTACAGCATGAAAGAATAGAATCTCTACTACATATCTCATCCGTAATAATTCCATTCAAGAATATCGAGAGAGGAATAGGTGTAGTTGTACAGGTTCACTAACGATTGTTGTAGTAATGGTGGTAGTTTTACGGGAATTAACAGTAGCATTCAAACTCAGAGAAAATTAACAGTAGTATTCAAACTCAGAGAAAATCAACAGTAGTATTCAAACTCAGAGAAAATTAACAGTAGTATTCAAACTCATAATTCAAAATCCAGTGGAATATCTCTAAGTTATAATAATATCAGAAATAGTATTAATAATAAAAAGAGAGTTAACTTCAAAATATGAACATAGTTGTGTGAAGAATCTAAAGCTTAGCATCTTTATTTATTAGAACACAATTTTGAACAATATTAATAAAAATTTCTTTCGTAATTAGCTTTTCTATGTCAAAGCGTTACATCTTATATGTATAAATTTATTAGGAAATTATTATTATAAAATGCCCCCTTTTTTATCCATAAGAAATCAAATAAATCTGCCCATATGGTTTAAGATCTACAAATATATGTATCTGATTTATAAGCATCAAACTTTTTTATATAGGAATATATAGTAGTAAAGAATGTTTTACTTTGAAATTTGCCAAGATCTTTTAATTCATACTCGAGTAAATTATTTTCTAACCAGTAAATCCGATCATTAATATTCCATATATTAAAATTTACTACTACTCCTATAAGTTGAATAAATAAAAGAAAATAAATTTAATATCGCCCCACGTTCAATCATTGAAAAATTAAATAATTGCCATGCTTAAATTAGTGTTTAGACTTTAAATTATTGATTGAAGTGAAAAATGATATTTGAATCTAAATTAATACATCATTTTTTTTTTATTATTAATTAATAAATCCTTTTATAATTGAAAGAAAGAATTTGATGATTAATTAAAAAGAATGATAAATCGAATTTTAAATAAATGTCAAACCAATTAGAACCGAGAAGTTAAATTAAAAATAAATAAAAATATGAATAATAAACCAATAAAAACCGGAAGAAGAATTCACATGTATTATTTTCTTTTCATAAGCTTTTTTGTATAATAAAATTTTAACAACAAGATTCTAAAAACAATAAGCATTCAACTAATTCGTGAGGAAAGAAGGAAAAGAAAGAAGGAGTAAACAAATTAATTTGTATTGCTTACTTTTCAATTCATTTTTTCCATCACTAAAAATATATATTTTTTTTTAATATTTTTTTTTTTATTTTTAAAAAAATATTAACGACGCGATTTTATCATTATATGAGGGGGGAAGTTCTTGAATTTTTTCTCTCAAAAGTGATAAAAATAAAAAATAAATTAAATATTGACAATTAATTTTAATTGTTCAATGTAGATGGCAAATTGTGTGTATTTCATATCCAATGGATATTTTTTTTCTCAAAACAA